TCTGAATAAAATGTAAGTTAAGCTATAAAACTGCTTAAATAAATGTTTGTAGCTATAGCAGATCTTGCTGGTTAGCAAAAAGAAGCACCACATTTAATGCAAAGGCTAAATTCAATTGCAAACATCATGTTTTAATACTTACCAATCAATTAGAACCAAGTTTTCTGTAGGAAAATAACTAAAAAGTACAAATGCTAAACTAAATTTATAACCATGATCTACCGTAAATCGTTTTCATTTAAATCAATCCACTCTGTATGTTTCATTTCATTGCTTCTCATTACTGCTGGTCAAAGTACAAGAATTTGATACCATATAACATCCCATTATTTTATTAAATCAAAAAACTTCGTAAATTTCCCCCTTGTCCAAAAAACATATGTAGAAGTCAGGAGAAAAATTATATCCTACAATATAATCCAATGTTCAGTAGGCAAGAAGTATTTTCTTAATTGCTTCTATGTTTAGTTAACTGCTTCCTCAAGAGGTATTTTAACAAACTAACCAAGCTGGCACTGTTTCTGGGAGGAAGTTTTTGTTAACATGGAGGGAAAGCTGAGTAACTCAATTACTGTACCATCTTTCCAGGCTAATTCAATGCAACCTTGCATCAGCTATTTTGACAACTGCTAGAGTCTAACCAGTGCTGCTACTTTTTCAAAATCTTTTTCAAATGGTGTAGAACTTTAGTGTCTAGTGTGTTTGAGAGACAAGGGCTGTTAAAACTGTTAAAGTTGAGATGGGAGAAGAAACAGCTAATCAGAATTACATGAATATATTTTTCTTTAAGTTCCATTCTCTTTTACCTGGCAGGGCTTAGAAATTTTTTTGTGAATTAGTAGTTTTTCCAAACACTAGTCCTAGATCAATGATCAGCAAGAGAGCAGTGCATAATCCCTGACAATGTACAATTATTAATTAATATTCTTTGCTAATTGTTTGCCATAAACATCATCTGTGGCAAATCATTAAGTCGATAGATAGCTGTTATCAAAGACTTTAAAAAACAAAACAAAAAACGGAAAATAATTTCAATAAATATCACCTGCAGGACTTTACATAATTTGACAACTTTATTTTATCAAATTACAATTATATAATATTATGGTCTGTATGTACTGAAGAGGCAAAAAGATCTGAAGTACACTCATTGAGGGCCAAATTGTGCAATCCTTATGCATGTGTGAGCACTTACTCATTGAGATACACCCACTGAAGTCATTGGCATTTTATGAATACTGTAATCAGAATGGTCTGACTTTTAAGGACAGCTTTCCAAAGGTATGAAAAGAGTTGGTTTTAGCCATGAAAATGAAAACTATCTGCCACTAGTCCCTAAAAGTAGTAATGCCTTATTGGCACTGGTCCATACTGGATACAACTAGTCCTGACCTCAGATCAGTGTCATTTTCAAAACCCTAACTTTTGTAGGCCCTTGTCAAAAGTAAGTTTCAATATAGCCAAAATGGAAAACACACACAGTACTGGTAAACTGTCAGACAGCATGACAAAGTAGCATGCATCTTAGGTACACAAAAATATCCAGGACTCGGCCCATCTGACTGCACAAAAATGGAATCTCTCTCTAGGTTCTGCCTTTTGTTGTCAAGTGAAATTAAGTTACAGTGAAGTGAGACAAACAATTTCAACTGGACCTGTGGAGCGTTCAGGAGAATTTGTACTACACCTCTGAATTGTGTAATGGCCAACAACAGACAAAGATGAAAGGAAGGATGCTAGAGTGCTAGTGGCAGAAATTATGTTTTCTCTCTCGTAGGTCCAACCCTTCTCTATCCAAAGAGCTCCGACTCTCATCCAAACCCAAACTGTCTACTATAACCTCTTCCTCCAGAGTTTCCTTGAGACATCACCTCCCTTCCAGTCCTCATAAAATGCACCTGGCTAAAGTTATCTGCCTCACCAGCTCTGACCATTTCATACTCCCTCTTTGCACCCCTTCTCTGGCTCCCCGCTTCGTTACTACATCAAGTTTCAACTTTTATCTTTACTTTCAAAGCCATAGCAACCAACATTGTCCTTTATTGTCTATCTAGCTAATAACACCATCCTTTATTGTCTACCCAGCTAATAACACCAACCTGTTCATTTCTCCCACAACCATCTCCATGTCTCGTTACTGTATCACCCCCTACACAGGAAGTGGCCACCCTATTCTAGACCACCCAGCCATTACTCTCCTCTCCTCATTCCTTAAACTCAATTCTGCGATGGGAACAAGAATTGAATCTACAACATCAATGCATATTTTTTTTTTAAAACTGACCAAGATGTGCACATACCTAAATTGAGTAAGAATATGACCTCATTGTTGTGTTCCTTGTTTTTCCTCACCACATCCCTGGCCTACTGTTTACTACTGTGTCTTAGGTTTAAAATTACATTGCAAACTCTTCAGAAAGGGACTACATCTTTCTATTTGCACATTAAAGCATCTAGCACAGTTTCAGACCCTGGAATATTGAATAATATATTTAACCACCACCCTAACCAATATACAAAAACCTGTAGGAGAACACTTCAATCTCCCTGGCCACACAATAGCAGATGTAAAAGTAGCCATCTTACAGCAAAAAAAACTTCAGGACCAGACTCCAAAGAGAAACTGCTGAGCTTCAGTTCATTTGC